AACCCAAAACCCTAAACCCCGAACAACAAAAAGCTTCAAAACCCTTGAGTTTTATTAGGATTCTGAAGGATCCTGTTGTGATGACGTGGGTTTTACTCTGTACTAGCCAGCTCAGAGGTCATCCGCGAATGTGCCCGAAGTCGTGTGGTTTGCCGCTTCCTTGGCGACCACTGCGGAAGCTTATCGGATGGCAACTCGCCGCTTTGCAGCCTCTGCCGCAACTCTCGACTCGATGTGCAGGACATGCTGCCTTGCACGTAGCAGACAGCACCGCCGCAGCCATTCAGAGACGCCTCGAGGCCACTGTCTGGACCCTGTGTGGGGTTCTCTCCTGTACCATGGAGGACGTGAGCCTAGTAGACTTCGTCACTCAAGGAGAGCGGACCGCAGTCTTCGACGGTAAGGTGAAATAGGACGAAACCTGCGAGGGAAATGTCTTTTGCGCTAGGTGGCCTGACGCAAGCCCCCACTTTCATACCCAGAGTGGGCGTTTGGGCGAGTGAGGTAGCTGTCAGCCACAAACGCACCACAAAACATGTATGACTGAAGGCCAGGTGCAATGGTAGCTTACAAGTGCAACTTTGACATGCGCAGGATTGAAATGTTACCTGCGGCCAGTGGCCTCACCGGAACCCCCTCTTCCCAGTTTTGTTTGACACCGATGTGTTCATCACCAGCATTGGTGAAGTGCCTACTGCGTGGATATCTGTGGAAAGCCGTAAAATCAGTGAACGGCGAAAAAGCATTTAAGACAGCATCCAGAGCTGGCTAGGAATAACCTAATGTGTATTACTAATGTTCCACGCAGCGATCGTTCCCTTCACCTGTCACCTGCGATTGTTGCCATGCCTGAGATTCGCATCCAGCATCTCAAAGATGTTGTCAGCCTTGAAATCCCGAACTTCGGCCTTCAACTCGTGCACAGTCCAGCCAGGCGGGTCCAGCCTTCCATAATCAATCAGAAATCGAAAGAAGCGCAACTTCTTCCGCATTTCAAACACTTCAGCTTGAACACCCAGCATTTGTTCATGAGTGCAAGTCAAGTCAAGTCAAAAGCCTTGTGTTGAGACGCACGGGCATGTACAGTCAGTCAGCCGGCTAACTGCTGAGCTGAACTATTAAAAATGAGCAAATGTACGGATTTTGCACTGCCATACTTTTGATGGCTTGCTCCGCATATGTTCTAGAGCTTGCCTGTCACCACACATGCCGATTGTTAATCGCAAAAGTTCTGACTGTCAGCCTGGTTTCGGTCTTTTTTATCTCACACAGCGCAAAGCTACCATGTTTGCATGACGTCCCAGATGGTAAACGCTCAGCACAGCAACGCCAGCTGTCGGCAAACAACGGAAGACAGCTTTGGCGAGCAGCGCGCTACATGACTGACTCGTTCGTCACCCTACAATTTTGCCAAGGCAATGTATTTGAAAGGAATCTATCTTTCCCCTTGCGGTTCTGCGAAACCATGCCCTACGCAGCGAATAAAGCAATCGCGAAGTGATACAAGAGGCAAAGACCTGAGTCGTTTGATGCTGTCTCAACATTCATGAGTGCAACCGCATGCAAGCTCCTGGCGGTCTTTACATTGATGCGGGCTCTTGCAGGAACTAGCTTGGCTCCCTGTCCTGCACTTGATTGTCGCAATCACACGAAATGGTGGGCCAAACCTGGGCCATTTCAACAAGCCACTTGCACGTTGCCGGGGGCCTATCGACACTAATCCTACGCATCCAGCATTCCCAGTCGATCCCAACTTTTCAAGGTCACAAGCGATGGGTTTCTGAGTTGTATTACAAGTCTGACAGCTGGTATTCTCTTTCTCCATGTTCTTGTATTTGCGACCCTGCTGTGGAGGAATGGCAGGCCTGTTGTACAGCAATGTCCCGGCAGGACTTCCTGCAAGAGAAGCGGCAGCACGTGACTGAAGGCATTGTCCGCATCCAGGCTCGAGGGGGGGCTGGACAGCGTGTTCATCAACTGCATGATTTCCAGTACACAGTTCGACCAGTCCTAGGCAACGTGCTAGCTCACCTATTCAGACACCAGAAGTTAAGGAAGCATTGCTGCATAAGAGTTGTAAAATCTCGCTAGAAGGCGGACAGAGGGAAGTAGGGAGTGATGGGCCCACCACACAGCAGGATGGTGGCTACGGAGAGGCCAAAGAACCGACTGTCTCCCCGGAGGCTGTTCACGCATTGATGGGCAAGGCCTGAAAATTACCATGAAGGGCTTTGTCCTCCAAATGCCAAGGCTTGACAGGGTGAGAAGTCCCGTTCTAGGGCTTCTATGCGCTTGCATTCAGGGCTGTGCGCTCTGTTTGAGCTCTTGCAGAGAGCCAGGAGCTGACAACTGAGCAGCGATTGAAGCTGAGCTCCACAGTCATTGACACCGTGCTGCGAGGTGGACGGGTAGGAGGGGCAGATGGGTTTTCTTGGGATGTCCTTAGCCTTTTGTGGCATTGAGGCGACGCTCCGCCGTTCGAGGAGCCTCGACGAAGCGATGCCCCAGTGGCTTCCCCGACGGCCCCGGCTTTGGCGGCTCCAGAGCCCGATGCACCCGATGCGCCTGAGCCCATCCCAAACGGAGACAGCCTGGCCCTGGCTCAGCTTCTACAGGCCTGGCTAAGCTCATAGGCTCGCAATGGCTCATAGGAATTTGATGCTTATGAAGTCCGCATCCTGAGCTCAGGAGGCCACTGTTTCAGAGAGCCTTGGCTGCAACAAGGCAGCTTGCCAGAACTCAGCAGAGGTGTTTGCTGTCAATTGTCTTGAAAGTATGTAGAGTGGATGGAAGGACGGGAGGCGATGAGGATGCTGAGCTCTTGCAGCAGCCATATCGAGAGTCTCTGGACTACCTCAACGATCAGTTCAGTCTCCTTGAGTGCGAGATCCGGATTGCAGAGCACAGGCGGCAGTCTACCAAGGAAGACGTTGGAGTCGAGGACTTCGACCTTTCCTGTCATCGAAGCCAGCTTAGAAGCTCAGTCTCGCGAAGCGATTGTCTTTGGAGGTTGTGGTTGCTGCTGGACTGAGCCCAAAGAGGTGTGGCACACGCTGACTCCTTGACGGTGCTTGTTTGCAGGAGCCCTTCCTCCTCAGATCCCGCAAAGTTAACGTCTTCGAGCATGAAGCCAAGAGTACTTTGGCAGAACATGCGAGACTCAGTTGTGAAGGCTGCACCACTGGGTGGTGGGTTTTGGGGTCAGGAAAGTTGGCCCTGGCGCGGATCAGCCACCGGCTGAAACTCACTCGGGAAGCTGGCCTTGAAGTCCCACGCCTCGAGGCCGGCAAAAGCAGAAGATGCGGAAAGCCTTTGGCACAGAGGCACAATTTCAGCTCTGCTGCTCAGCTGCTTTGCCTGACGAGGCGCTGCACCAGAAGACCAAGCTTGATGACTTCGAGAAAAATGTCGTGCCTGGACTCAGAGGGCTTCGCTTCGGCCGCAGTACCAGATGCATGAAGGAATGAAGGACTGTGGGGCATAAATAAGGCCGAAGCAGCATGATGCAGCATCCCGAAAATAATTGAAGACGGGTATTTTAAAGATATGTAGAACGCGGGGTGCTGAGGTGGTGATGCTTGTGGGCAACACTTTGTCGCCGAAGATCCAGGCCACGCTCAATGTGGGGGAGCGGCGCTTCCTTGCCAACGCACCTTTGCAGGCCTTGTGGGAATCTTCTAGAAGCCATTCCTGCTCAGCTGGAGCAACCTTCCTGTGGAAAATGCGAAATTTTTCAGCAGCAGGTGAGGGTCATCCTGGAAACTTTCTGCCGCGACTTCAAAGAAGAGGTCCAGAAGCGCGTTTACTTCTACAAGAGTAGCAGGCTGGCCAGCAGCCCTGCTGCACTGCACCGGTCGCAAGCGAGGCCTGCTAGCGGGCACAGAAGCTGAGGCAGTGGCATCATCCGAATTGGTGCTGGGGCGAGGTCTGGTGACCTCACGTGCCACACAGTCCACATTGACCGTCGCATCCTGGACTTCGTTGTAGGTCTTGATACAGCATCTCGACAGCACCTGAGCCAGGAAATCGTCCAGGTTTCACAGGGTCTTTCAGCAGCCCTCCTGTCTGCGACGAAGCGCATACGCTGTGGATTATCACGAAAACGGGTTGCGTGCTGAATCCTGGAAAAAACGTAGGTGCTAGTGAAGCCATTCTAAGCATAATATACGCATCCGCACACTTTGTGTGGAAGGAGAAGAGTAAGACAAGGCATGAGTTCTGAAGTGAAGGATGCCAGTACGCAGGCTGAGCGAGTGTGAAGCAAGAACCCTTTGCCATGCTGGGCAGACTTAAAAGTCCAAAGAGTTGAAAACAAGAACTGTCCACCCGAGACGAGGAACACTGCTTGCCTGTTTCTGGTTAGGGCTTAGACGCAGGCGTGAAAGGGATATCGCTTTTGGAAATGCAACTAAACGCACATAAACTCACTCTCGTTCTGCACGTTGACCTTAGTACTTGAGGTCTGAAGAAATCGCGAACAACCGTGGTTTCAACACGTTTTCAGGGGATTTCGTAGTTGAAAAGCAAGTTGCATTTCATCGGGAAACGCGTCGTGGACTTTTTTTCTCACTTTGAAAGTCCTCCACATATTTCCCTAATGGTAATTCCTTTGCTTGCCATCCGTCCCCAACCAGTAGTTAGCTGTACCATGCTGTGCCCTTTCACGGCCTGTTTCGTCATTCTCAGGAGATTAACGAAGTTGTGGAGGGCAGCAACCTGTACAAGCCATCTGCGACACTCCAGCAGCTTGTGCTGCCGGAGGATGGGCGTGCAGTCGATCTTTCAGTTGTTTCTTGCACATGGTTCTTGAACCGTCAAAACCTCCCAGGTTGATGTGTTCCGGCAAAGGTAAGAACTACTTAGAAGCCAGGACATGAAGAGCAGCATCCTCGCTTTGGTGGACAATTTCGAGCAGTGCCTGGGTTGTTTGTGTAAACGTCTGCATTCCTTGTTGTAGCAGGTCCCACACCAGACTAGTCACTAAGCGGTGTGCTCACAGTGTACACTCGTATGCGCACTTTGCTGCTATGCGGACATGGCATAGATAACAGCTCGAAGCTTCTGGCTTAGCATGATCAGTTGTTGAACAGGGCCCTTCGAAGCAACTCAAGCTTGTGCAATCCGTACGTACTGAGAAGTCTCGGAAGTTGTTGTGGCACTGTGGTCCAGGCAGCCTAAACCTTTATGTCCTTGGAGGGTGGGGAGGCTTGTTGGTACAG